TCGTGTAATTACAAACCGAAGCGAACAAATTTTTACATTATTTTTGATCATTTTCAGGCTTGACATTAATATGATCATATGGACATGTGGACATATGGACATGTTTGATATTAACTTTAGCGCTCTAAAAAGATGGCATTAACTTAAATTTGACCTGATTATATTCCAAAATTATTGATGATTGAATCTTAATTTATTCGAAAAGAGTAATGAGGCGCCAAGGGTATCTCTGAATAATTTTATAAATACGTTTTTATCGAGTAAGTAAATCTGAAATTTGAATTTTGCCATAGATGGCCGTAGCTGTTCCTTTTTAGTGTAGGTTGCTTGTTCTTGTTCCTTTTCGGTATATATAGTTACTGTCAAAAAGCATCATTGACGCCAAGTCCTTATAGACGTTTCATAAAGATTTTACAACTTGTAACAAGACAAGCTGCATACAACACAACATAGTTGAAGAAAACGGCGTTCGCTCATTGTTTTCCGATGCAAAGTGAAGTTATTTTCGCATCGCATGATCGCTAAGGATGGAAAGTGAGTTTATTTTAAAAATCCCTGGCACAAAAAATTATCTATGTCGACCGCAAAACTGAACAACGAATTGGCTGTGGTAAATTAAACTCTTTATACCACCTCAGTAAACAGTTTGAATATTTCATTGTTCAAAAAATGACTTTATATTGAAAAAAGAAAAAAACAATACAAAAAAAGATACTTCATTACGTGTCATCCGTCCATGGATCCGTCCGTATTACGAAACCGGTTTGCGACATGTTGGTTAGCATTCAACCGGAAAGTGCTAGTTTTTGCGGTTTAGAGCTCGAACCCATCCGATTGTCAATTGTTTCCGTGAATGGGCGACGCAAGTGTTGGTTCGTGCAAAGATCTAAAAGAAACAATTCGCTGAATAGGTGAAAAGTGTCGGATAGGTGCTAAAAATGCTTATCGAAATAAGTTCTTTAAGTCGCTTGCCTTCAATTTCGCTACAAAAATTCCCATTTATTATTTACTTATTTCGAAAACTTGAATGCCAACAATGCCACTCATCAACTCGAGTACCATAATAATTTGTTGTGTTGTGTGACGTCAAATTAAAGGTAAATGGTAAAGCATCCAAAAAATGTGTATTTTGTAAACAAAAAGAGATCGTTAGGGAAAACAAACCATAGGACAAAATACCAATGACGTTAATTTTGAAGTTTTTGCAATGGATTTTCTTGGGTGGCTGAAGGTTAATAGGCTAAAAATCGATTTGGATTTTTCTAAACATTCAGCCTTACACACATGCACAGCCATTCAAAGAGTAGCTCAATAAATAACTGCTTAATAGTTCTATGATGATTTTGAATTTAGGAGTTCGGCTGACTCATGCTCTTCTATGGTAACAAAAGTTTTAAATGAAATAATTTACACTCGAATTTGCATAATTATAAAATTTTCCATTTCAATGACTTTTTATTCTATTCCATCATTTTTCTTTTCTTATTTGCAGCCTTCTACCACAAACCACAAGTCAAGCCAATCCAAGCAAGTTGGAAATTGAAGATTAACAACAAAATACCGAGTTGCTATCGAAAGCGCATACATAACATCCGAGTGCTAGGAGTACGTTAATGATTTCTACCAATTATCAAAAGCTTTGCTTTGCTATTGTGGTTTAGCTTTTATATACTTAACCAAGGATACGCAAAAGCACCAATCGTCACAAGTTCACAAACGCACGCATACACATACAATCACATCACATATACACGTATTTGTATAGTTATGAAGAGAATAAATAAGCTCCTACACATTGGACTGACCAACCAATCGGAGAAGAGCTGTTGAAAACTCTCAAACTACCACCGGAAATGCAATTCACTGAACAAACTATGCATGTAAGTAAAATCTACATAACTACGTGGTATGAAAGAGTGAAATGGTAAATATAATAACGGGAAAGGGTATATTAAATAGAAAAGCTCATACGCCTAGTTGTGTTGGATATTTACAAAGAAGAAAAAAAGAAAAGAAAGGAAAAAAGTTTGTTATTGCATTGCATTTCGGGTTTCTTGAGGAAAAAAGTGCAAAATAAAGGAATACTTTATGCATTCTTCCTATTGGCGCAAAAGCAACACAAAGGATTTCAACCAATCGCAACGGCTCGAGGAAAAGAAAAACGAAAATCCTTAGCTGCTTCTGCGGCTCTACACGATAATGAATACAAGATGAAAAAGTACTTTTGTGTATACTTTGTGACAAAATGCCAAATCATTTTGCCAAAATTATATTACTTGACTTAAATTCTCTTTGGTTTTTTTTTTTTTTTTTATTTTAATTTAATTGAAATGCATTTTTTGGCTTGGAATGCAAAGAACAACACCATTGGGAGAATAAGTAATAAATCAGCAAACAAAGGCTTAATTTACATTTTAAGTACTTGTAATAAAGTTATAAAAAAAAAAACAAAGTAAATCAAAAAATGACATTTACTTAAGCATTATTTATGTCATGATTACGAAACAATTTTCCACAAGATTAATAAATCTTATATGTAAATATAAATAAAATATTATATATATATATATATATAAAATATTTCACTTAATAAAAAAACAAAAAATAAATAAACTTTGCAGTTCTAGTATCCTTCGTGCTTAGGATTAACAATAACATCTTAATCTTAAGCTGTGGCTATTATCTCTTAATATTTTATTAAATAAAAAAGTAGAGATTTTTTTAAAAACAATGTATTTTAACGGAGCATATAAATACAATAAATACTTAATACTTAATTATTAGAAACTATTTATTATTCATAAATATAATAATTATTAACATAATAAAATATATAAAAAATAAAAATAAAAACATACAACTAATTAATTATATAATATAAATATTATTAAATCTCAATATTTGAAAATGTATAAGAGCAGCAACAAATTTAATAAAGTTTTCTTTAGCTGACCAGCGGAACCAAAAAAACACTGTTTTATTATTCAGCGCGTTGAGGGGGAACTGAAAGAAACAATGAAAAAAAAAATATTATTAAATATCTTTGGTGTGTTAGCGAACACTTTAGTTCTCTCACAATTTCTATGATGTCATTAAAGACTTAAGTGGCGAATACTCTTTCACTTTATTTAATAAGAACTTGCACTCCACATTTTGTGCCAAATGTTGGAAATACGTGAATCCCAAAGAAAAAGTTTCCGCAGAGTAGTTGTTCGCCATGCTGGGAACCGAGACACCTTCGAAGCCGAGCTCAAACGCTTGCATAATAAAGCTGGCTCAACAATTACAGGAGCATCAAAATTCTATGGATATTGAGGTTTTCTTCGATTTCGATATTGCAGCTTATTGTAAATTTTTATGCGTTGACGAGTTAGGCCTAAATTTATCCACTTCCTAAGGTGGTGCCGCGATTAGCTCTCCGAGCCAATCTTTACATTCCTTGCACTCGGCACTGAGGCATTGAAACGCAAATGGAACGTTGTAGACGAAAGGGAAGATATTACAACCAGTAGCGCTAATAAGAAGTATTGATATTGTGAACGTAGATCGCGAGCAATTCACCTGTTATTATATCTTCCAATTCAATAACGAAGGGGACAGCTGCAGCTATAGAGCCAGTGTTTTAAGGG